CTCGTGTTACTTGAGCCTTGTAACCTAGCATGCATTTTTTTTTAAAAAAAAAAGGCATAACTACCCTAATTAACATCAAACCCAAAATACATCTGTAGTATTTTGAATCTATCAAAATTCAAAAGAAATAATTAAAATAAACACTCAACGCAATTACAGAGTACTTATACTTGCCCAAAACAAAAGGAAACAACAAAGAAACAATTGTCATTTCACGCATAACCAACCAAAATCCTATCTAATCACACGAGACCAGCACTCTCCCAAAAATAACCATGTAATCGGGTACATCGTAGGTAAAACCTGTATCTAACTATCAACCCCACCATACTTATCAAATCAGGAGAATAATAGCTCATCAAATATCCATTAATAACAAACAACCCATCAACTCACAGCACACTACGCACATCATGAAAAAATGATAAAAAGAAAACCTCTCACAACTTATTGTGAGAACCAACTAACTTCTCATCAATATACAACACTTTAATACATAGTAAAAACATTCACATCATGAAAAACTGACAAAAAGAAAACCGCTCATAATTTATAGCAAGAACCAACTTACTCTTCCCTAATAAATACTACTACAAACCATAGTTAAAACACTCACAATCCATCATATATGACTAAGCTTTTCTAGTTTTTGTTATAATTAAAGGTTATTATGCTAGTTTGATCAAGCATATTTCCTATTATCCATGCCTATAAAGGAACCAATTCTTTTGTTAATGGATTGGCTAACATTAGAGTAGATATTGGTCATAAGAAAAGATTAAAAATAGGTTTTGGGTTAGCTTAACTGGTTCGACCTTGAGTTTATTTTTCAATGGTTACAAGTTTGAGTTCTCTTAAAATTATTAAAAACTTACATGATTGTTAATTTCAAGGCCTATAAAATTAGTTAAGATACGCGCAAACTGATCTAAATATTCACATTACTAAAACGACAAAAAAAAAAAATTAAAGATAGACTTCTATCAAGTACATAAATTTTTAGAATTTGTAATTAGTTGGATGGTGTGGTTGGTTGTTTTTTTGGCCTTTAAGTCCCTTACATGACTGAAAATAAAAAAATAAAAAAATAATAATACACACACAAGAACTTTAACAAATATAAAAGAAAAGGCAATCACAAATAGAAAAGAAAGTGACTTTGAGCGGAGTTCTATCAAGTTCTAGTTGCATAAGCTCTTCCATCTTATTTTATTTTTTATTGGAATGACCTGCTCCTCCATCTCATTTTATTTTTTTATTGGGACAATTTTTGTTTTTAGTTAATTAAATTAAATTAAAAAAATAAAAATTAATTTAAACTAATTGGTCTTGATTCGGTTCGGTTATTTTAGAGCAAAACTTAAAATGCAACCCACTGGTCCGGGTTTGATTTGGTTTAGGTTGGGTTTAGTTATTTCATATTAAAAACCAAAAATTATATTGTTTATTAGGTTTTTTTTGTAATTTCTAATGGGTTTGATTTCGGTTAAGCTCGGTTTTTTTCTGATTTGGCTCAGTTTTTTTGTTTGATTTTTTTATTAATTTTGGTTTGGTTTGGTTTTTTTTGGATTCAAGTTTATGAAACCAAAACCAAAAATATTCTAATTAGTTTTTCCACGATTTGATTTTTCAATTATTTTTTCTGATTTTCTTGATTTAATTGATTTTTTAGTTTTTTTTTCACCCCTAGCACTTCTACCACCCAAGAAACTTGGGTCTATTATATTATTATTATTATTAAAATCAAAGTTATCTGAGTATGACAACCCTGCCAAACTCAAGTGCAAGACCCAAGAAACTTGAGGTTGTGCATAACAACCCCTGTAAGACCCAAATTTCTTGGGTCTGTCACCCCTATCACTACTATCCAAAAAACTTGGATTTGATATATTATTATTATTATTATTATCAAATTTATAGTTTTTTTAATATGAATAATATTTAAAAATATATATTAATAATTATAATAATAATATTGAACATATGTGACCTAAGTTCTTATAATTTTTAATTTTACCCTTCAAATCAAATTTATGATTTTTTTTCAAAAGTAATAATATTTTTTTTCAAATTCATTAATAATAATAATAATAATCAATCCCTGCCACACTCATGACACCACTTGTAATACCCAAGTTACTTGGATCTAGTCACCCCTATTAAACTATTGGTAACACCTGCAAGACCCAAGGAACTTGAAGTTATGTCTGGCGCCCTTGCCAACCAATGAACTTGGACTTATTAACCTTGTCAAACTCGTGTTACTTAGGTTTGGCAGCATAGCGTGTTTAAGATTATCATGTTTAAAACAAAAAAAGCAAGACTGCCCCAATCAACCTTAGACGTAAAATCCATCCACAATCCATTGAATCCAACAAAATCCAAAATAAATAATTAAATAAACAATTTAGCGCAGTCATATAATATTTATACCAACCCAGCACAGTGATAAAATACTTATACCTGTTTAGAATGAAGAAAACAACAAAGAATCCACTGTCATCCCATGCAAAATCAATCAAATTTCCATCCAACTGCACCAGACCAGCACTCTCCCAAGAACAACCACGCAACCGGGTACATCACAGGTAAGACTTATATCTAATAACTATCTCCTCAATACTAAACAAATCAGAAGAATAACAACCCACTGACAACAAACAAGTCAGTAACTTATAGCACGCCACGCACGCCATGAAAAAATGATAAAAAACAAGTTGCCCACAACTTATTGTGAGAACCAATTAACTCCTATCTGATAAATACTATTTCAATACATAGTGAAAACATTCAAAATCTACAGTACAGGATTGAGCTCCTTTTGTAACAGTCCGGCCCAACTTGCCTAAAAGACTCAAGTTTCTTAAGTCTAACAGCACTACTAGATCCAAATTACTTTGGTGCGGCACCTTGCAAGACCCAAGTTTCTTAAGTCTGACAACCTTACCAGATCCATCTTAGTTGGATCTTACAAGCTTGTGAGACTAGTATTACTTGGGCCTCACAACCTATCATATATATATTTTTTTAAAAAAAAGGCACAATTGCCTTAATTAACCTCAAACCCAAAATCCATCTATAGTATTTTGAATGTATTAAAATCCAAAAGAAATAATTAAAATAAACACTCAACACAGTCATAAAGTACTTATACTTATCCAGAACAAAAGGAAACAACAAAGAAACCATTGTCATTTCATGCAAAACCAACCAAAATCCTATCTAATTGCACGAGAGCTGCACTCTCTCAAGAATAACCACATGACTGGGTACATTGCAGGTAAAACCTGTATCTAACTATCAGCCCCACCACACTTATCAAATCAGGAGAATAATAGCTCATCAAACATTCATTGATAACAAACAATCCACCAACTCATAGCACACTATGCACATCATGAAAAAATAATAAAAAGAAAACAGCTCACAATTTATTGTGAGAACCAACTAATTCCTTCCCAATATACAACACTCTAATACATAGTAAAAGCATTCACATCATGAAAAAATGACAAAAAGAAAACTGCTCACAATTTATTGTGAAAACCAACTTACTCTTTCCTAATAAATACTACTGTAATCTATAGTAAAAATACTCACAATCCACCATATATGACTAAGCTCTTTTAGTTTTTGTTATAATTAAAGGTTATTATGTTAGTTTGATCAAGAATATTTCCTATCATTCATGCTTATAAAGGAACCAATACTTGTGTTGATGGATTGGCTAACATTGGAGTAGATATTGGTCATAAGGAAAGATTAAAAATAGATTTTGGGTTAGCTTAACTGGTTCAACCTTAAATTTGTTTTTTTATGATTACAAGTTTGAGTTCTCTTAAAATTATTAGAGACTTACATAATTGTTAATTTTAAGGTCTGTAAAATTAGTTAAGATGCACGCAAACTGATCTGAATATTCACATTACTAGACCAACAAAAAAAAAATTAAGGACAGACATTTGTCAAGTAGATATATTTTTAAAATATGTAATTAGTTGGGTGGTGTGGTTTGTGGTTTTTTGGCCCTTAAGTCTCTTATATGACTGAAAATAAAAAAATAAAAAACAATAATATATATATACACACACCAGAACTTTAACAAATATATAAAAAAAAATTCAATAAAAAAGAAAGTGATTTCGAGCAGAGTTCTATGAAGTTTTAGCCGCACAAACTCCTCCATCTCATTTTATTTTTTTATTAGGATAGTTTTTGTTTTTAGAAGTGTATTTTATTTTAACAAGTATTAAAGTTTTTTAATATTTTTTATAATTTTAATTTATTTATATTAAAAATAAAAAATATATATAAAAAAATATATTTTCAAGTAAAATATATTTTTAAAAAACATTATACATGACAATATCATATGCACTGCAAGTAAAGTAACCCAAAAACAGAGTGCGATGCAAAATTCTCCTCTCTTTATATATCCTTGGAAACTAGAGAAACTTCCCTGCCTGATAAAATGGTGGCTCCATTAACGGTGTTCTAGCTTGCAAAGGGATAAAATCATAGTTGTCTGGTATCAGATCCAACTAAAAATTCGAATTATTAGAATGACATGTTATTTTTAAAATAATGTTATTTCAATTATTATTTTTAATAAAACAAGGTTGTTTTGAATAAAAAAATCCTTTGTATTCAAATTTTACCTAGTTAATATCCTAATTGGTTCGAAAAAATTCAGCCTGGACTAGACTTGGATGAACTCTATATAGATATAACGATTTTGGGGGTTGAAGACAATTTGCAAGACTAAAACGGGTCAAATAGAACATTAATAATACATCAAAAGTAAAAATACGAGTTCCACACTCTCACATATGGTCTTAATTAAGGCTTATATTGAAGGGGAGGAATTTGGGTTTGCATGTCTTTTACAATGCTGTCAAATGAAAATCATTATCAATTATTTGAATTATTACCTTACTTCAAAGTAAATATGATTTCTGCTTTTGGGATCTCCCTAGTCCTTCACCATAAACATAAAGGAATTAGAGAAGAGATTAATATAGTATTAAGAGTAAACTGATCCAATGCATGAAACAAACACACGCTAATTACCCTAGCCAGCTTTGAGAATTAGCTGGCTTTAAATAAAAATATAAATAATGTATGAGAACTTAACCAATATAGAAGAGAATACAATCATTAGGGGAAAAAGAATGCGATCTCGAGCTGAGATCAATTGGAATTATAACCATACAAGCTTTTCATTTGATACTCGTAGCCTAAGTAAAGCAACTCAACAGCGAAGATGAGATGCAAGAATCTACTCTTCGTCCTCAGAAAATAGACATACTCACCGGCCTAACTGGTGGCCCCTTCAGTGAAGAGCTAGCTTACAGAGGTCTTGTGTGTCGACCACTTGCCCTACCACAAAGAAGTGCATTCTTTGGAATGGGGTATTCGTCTCTGAGTGAAGTTGAATCTGTATAAACTCGCAAGTAAAATTGTTGACCGAGGTATTGACGTGCCCAGAATTCTGTCCTCAAGTTCCACATCCCCACGTTGTCGAGCGGAATATATATAGCAGTCCAGGCCTTGGGATATACCTGCACTCATCATGCAACTAAATATCAAACACTTATCCTTACTTTCTGTTTAAATCAATATCTCTGGCTATAGAAGCAGAACAGTTTGATTAGGAAAACAATGAGATTTCTCGTCGTACCTGAATAGTGCATCGAGAAACTCCATCGCGAAGATTGTACTGATTCCTGCTAGCTGTTGTCCACTGTCCTCCATCCATGCTGCATCACAAAAGTTTGGAAGAAATGTCTCAATAAACCAAGCTCACAAGATTTTCTGACGTGCTTTAATCAGTACAACCTGAAGATATGATCATATAGAGACAAAGGAAAATAAATGTAAACTACGTGCTTACCCAACAACAAAGAAACTGTAACCATCAAGGTGCCAGCTCTGCACAATGTTCTCATTGTTTTGGAATACAATTTCCACAAATGCTCTATAAGGAAGAGTCAGAACTGACGTGTCCAGGTACAATCCTCCACCATAAGGCCTGTCAGATATACTATTCTCCTTGAAAACTCCCTGAATTTTGAAGTAGTCTGCGAGCTTCATGGGAGTGTCTGGTGCAACAAAGGACACGCTATTGACTCCATATCTCTGCTTGCCATTGACTTGGCCAGCTGAATTTGCCACTATGATAGTTCTGGTAGTGTTGATCATTCCATAGTGGTATGAACCTTGTGGATTTGGCCTTGGTCCACTTGCAGTGAGATTAGTCCTGAAATGAGCACGTGTAATCAGAGTGATGTAGACAGCAAAAGCATACCAAATTACCAATGTGACTTTGTGCCATACATTCATGCATTCTTAAAGGGACAGCATTGCCTATTGTTGTCCAGCCAAGGGAATAACGCAGCAAGAACTAAAATTTTTCGCTATGGACCCAAATGCCTTAAACTTGGCTCAAAGAGCATGTTGCTAGTTGGAAGGGATTAGAATATACCTGATAGAGCGGGCCTGGTTGAGTGACCAGTCAATTTGTGTGGTTGGTCCGCCGGGGAATGGACCCGAGACAGGGCCAGCAGAGTTGCTATAGTGTAGAATACCAGTGGTGTTGAGGACGACTGGAGCAGTGAACCGAGAGGTAACCACAATATAATAGTCTTGGCCAGGTTGGTCAGCTGTAAATAGAACGGAATAAGACTGGCCAACATGAACATCGAGAGAGGAGAAGGTAGTTTGGAGAGTGTGTGTTCCCTCCACCTCTACCAGCTTCATCTTGTGGTTTTGAATCCTGAAGTTGAGGGAATTTTGCAACCCAACATTTGATATTCTCAACCTGTAAGTTTTTCCTGTAACAGATAGTCAAGAATATGTCATGCATGATTGGTAAATATATTACTGCCTTTGATTTTTGTGTATGGCATAAATTTTGGCTTCAGGAGATTGGCAGTCCAAAAGGCTACCTTGTTCAACAGTGAGTGAATAGCCATTGCGTCCACGACCATTGATGAGGATTCCACTAGGGAATGGGAGCCTCCTGCCGCTGTCCAATAGAGCCTTCAATTTCTATACACACACAAATGTACCCCCGTTATTACTCTAATATACAGCATATTTATTATTCAAGAGGGAAAAAAAAAGACTTTAGTTATAGATCGGATAGGATCCAGTTAACTGGATTTTTTTTAATAAACATTTAAAATGATATTATTTTAGCTTATTAAACAAAAAATCAAAATAAAAATGTTTTATTTTGATTAAAAAATTCAAGTTTTTTCATTAACATGACTCGAGCTAGTTGACCTTCTATACCATATCTTATAACTAGAATTTCAAACCATGAAATTTAATGAGTTTTTTGGATTTCCAACAAGCGTGTGCCAGCCCATGGTAGAAGCAACTAATGTGGAAGCACATGCATGACTAGACAAAACTCATGGCCCATGTCTCGTTGGACTTTATAGAAAAGTAACTAATTAGACAGCTGGGATTCACATTGGATTTATTGAGCATGTTACGGTTTGATGAGACAACACGCACAGATTAGGCCCAGCTGAAGAAATTTGTGACAAAAGTAACACTGTTCTCAGCAGGCACGCTTACAAATGAAGCAATCAATCTAAGTATGTGTTTAGCGTTGATATCTAGAATGTTTTTTGAAAAGATTTTTTTAATTAAAAATATATAAAAACTAATATATTTTTATATTTTTAATATTAATACATTAAAAATATTTTAAAAATAAATTTGATATATTTAAAAAAAAATAAAAAAAAAATATGTTATAATATAAAAACAATCACTTCATAAATATCTAATCCCTATTTATAATATCTAAGCATATTACGATAAAATATCTAAGTCTAGAATGATAGAGGGCTCAAAACCTAACCTGAATCTAGAAAAAAAAAAAAACTTGAGTTGAATTGATGTGTTTTTTTTTCACTTTACCTTATATAAATAAACTCACTCGATCCATAATCTTAACCGGGTTGATTTCCGGATCGGGTACTATCTATAACTATGGTATGATCCACAGTTCTAGTGGCTCTCATCAAGCAAACGTGTTCCCGAACCTTGCACTTTTCTGATAATAAGAATAAAGGTCCGGGGCAGGCTGTCTAAAGACAACAGGTAACGTGACAAATATAGAATATGGCATAGCCATGCCCTACCATTGCCGACATAAACTCAAAGCCAACTGATGAACAAACTTCCAAAAACCTCAACGCTCTCCCAATTTTAAGAAAGCTAATGACAATATTGATATTAATTTTTCTGAAACCCTCCTTCAAAGATCTCAACATGGGATTTATTTGTAAAATGAACATCATTAAAACAAGATTAACTGATTGTTGGGGTTAATGTTTACCGTGTGATTGGACATGTACCAATCTCCAATAAGAATGGTGTAATCGCCGGCAGGATCATCGAAAGGCACAGGAATTCGTGGTCGACTGAGGATTCTAATTCCTCCAAATCCACCGGCAGCCTTGTGGAATCCAAGGGATGGGAAGTAGTAGAAACTTCCTATTTGATCCTTGACTTGGAGGATGTATGTAAAGTTCTTTCCTGGAGGAATTGGGCATGTAGTTCCAAAAACACCATCCTCATATGAATTTCTCCTCTGTTGAATTCCATTCCTGTTTTTACAGACACAAAACAAATACCACAAGTAAATTTACCATTACAAAAGATAGTATTCGGATAAATGTCATGTCAATAAATTAGCCCAGTGTTACATGACTGAGCACAAGCGTTTCTCGGTGCATGCTGATAAATGCGTGTTGGCTGTCTGCATTATGAAGCAGGCGCTGTAGCAATATGTGCCGGTTCTCTTAATAAAATGTCTTAAGATGTAATTAAAAAGTTGATCAAATTCCAAACCCACCAGCATTAATTCTGGGAAATCAATATAGTACATCTTAGAAATGCCAAGGATTAGAGGAAAACTTAATCTACTGACTCACTGACTTATTACTTGGCCTGTATCAAGTTTCAAATTATATACTTACCTGATTAGACTTCGTCGCAAGCAGCTAACGATCCTTTTTAACTCTTTATAAATTCAAAATAATATTATTTTAGATTAATACCATTTAATGCACCGCAATTGTTTTTCCAATGGCAAAGGTCCACATGGCACACTCAGTGGACTCTATCCAATCCTATAACTTCCCCAGTGGATAACAGCTAAAACTAAAATTGACCACACAGATAGTTAGTGATCAAATCTGGTAGGTTAACAAATAGATACAGTGGCTATTGGTAATCGCACGACTTAATTCTCTGATAATGACGTTCATGTGATAACAATAAACAATTTTTGGATCTCTTACTAATGGAGAGAGTTTAGCATTATAGTGTTTCAAACTTAATTACAGCTGGCACAAATTACAGCGCTAATAGCGCAGAAAGTTCCATCTATTTAATCCATCAATTTAGATTTAAACACCACCGCCACTATATAATAGATGCTTTCATCAGCATTCACACGAGACCAAAAGGATGTACAGAGAACAGCGAAATGGCAATGTGAAAGCTGACGGTCTTCTCTCAGTTAAATAAATATTTAAGAGATTGATAATGGGGTCGGTCCTAGGATTACAGACGTGGCCATGTATAGAACTCTGACAAACGAGGGAAGGATTAGGGTAGATTTGTTTTTTTAAAGCAGGAAGCCAAAAATAAGTGCAAATATTATTTCCAGAAAGGGAAAGTTCACGAGAGATCTTACCAGGAGAGGAGGAAAGGTTCGTCTAAGCTGTTATAGACATTGATAATGAGGTTGTCATTGGTAACAGAGTGAATATCAGGGCCTGGGAATTGTCCATTGATAAGAATACCCTTTTAACAATAAAGAACCAAATCAGCATCAGCTAAGACTTCAATGGTAGAGATCAAAAGAAAGGGCAGTAAGATCAATGAGATTTGGAATTTTGGACAAACCTGTTGACGAACACCAAGAGGGTAGATGAAACCATAAGTAACATTCCAGTCAAAGAACCTGTAAGGATCTTCAGCTTTCACAACTGAAAGAATAGACACTGTGAGACACAAAAACGTGCAGAGTACTGCAGGGTTGCACGCTAAGTTGAGCGGCATTTTGGAGCCAAATGACAAAGTTACTCAGACTCTTTGGTTTGCCTCTTGTTTTAGTAGTGCTGCCGCGTATAGAAAGGAGGGTAATGAAGAGAGTGGGACTTTAAAACAGGAGTGAGGGAGGTTAGTTTCGTGGAAGGAGGCTCTAAATGATGAGGGATGGCGCGATATTTAAGTGCGGTACAGAGCATGTGGTATGGCATGTACAGTCAAGAAAAGCAATAAAATAAGAGGGCGGGACGCAATTTGTTAAAAAAGAAAAAGAAAATCAGTGTCGGTGCTGGGGTCAGCTTATTAACATATGCTAATAGTATTTGAAGTAACAGTATTTATGAATGTGGTTTGTCTCCCGCATGGGTTTTTGAAGGTGGTGGTGCCGTCGTGGTGGTTGTGGGTTTCATGTGTGGGGTTTCACTCTTAGAGCCTTTTTAGGGTTAGTTTGTTTTGCACTTACTTCTACGTTTGTGGTGTAAAAAATATAGGTGGATGTTTAATAATATACCAAATTATATTTTATACCATAAAATTCATTAAAAAATTAAGTTTGAAATGTATGAAACAGTTTTATATATTTTTTTAACAGAGTTTCATAAATTTTTATTTATTTTTGTATTTCAAAAATATTTTTTAAAAAAATTTATATTTTTTTATTTACTTCAAATTAATATTTTTTTATATTTTTAAATTATTTTATTGCGCTAATATCAAAAATAATTTTTTAAAAATAAAAAAATTATTTTGATATATTTTCAAGTAAAAAATACTTTTTAAAAACAATCATAACTATTTTTTACTGTATATAAACCTCAATCATAATTTTTACCAAACACATATCTAAATTCAATTAACCATATCTAACCATATTTTTTAAAATTTACTTTTTAAAATTATAATTACAAAAACTACCATAAAACCAATCACATTCTTAGCATTGTTACATCCTCGAGCTTTGGCACTCTCGAGCTTTGGCATTTTGGCACCGGTCATGAATGGATTTGCTTCTCCAGCTTGAAATTTGAGGAAAAGACTCGAACAAATGAAAATGGATGTAAAAGGACGGTTTTGTATGGATTTGCGCCTTGAGAATACCTTGACTAGTAAAACTAACAACAAGAAAAGACCCTTTAATTTAATCGCTCAAACATAAACAGGTCTAGATTGAAAAATATTATTTCAAAACAAATTAATCCTGTTCAAATCTAAAATTAATTAACTTTATCAACTCGGCCAAAACTTAATTATCAACTAAATAATTTTTATTTTTTTTTACTAAAGCTTCATCATTCTGATTATTATTTTTAAACAAAAATCTTCAAATTAATTAGATTAGCCCTTTCAATAATTCAAGACTTGACTCGATAGCAGATCGAGTTCTAAAACAATGCTTGTGTTTCCACTTGGCGTCCATCCTTCTATCAAACTCGTCGTGTTTGTTGCGTTGTATTTATGGTGCCTTTGACGGATTTTTGAACGCCACGAGCTAGTCCGGTTCTTCAACACCACACCAGTCCAACAAATTAAATTGGCGGTGATAGTTCAGGAACCTTTGTATTTAAGAAATATTGGTACTGGTTATAAAACAGATGACAAGTAGTGAAGCATAAATTAGGTTGTTTGTACTGGGGTGAAAACGCCTCCCGTGACACACGGAATGGCACTTTCTGTAGCAGATGATGAGCAGCAGCGAAGAAAGAATAAATTAGGTAGTTTGTACTGGGGTGAAAATGCCTCTCGTGACACAGGGAAGGGTACTTTTTGTGCATATTGTGCCCGTCTCGGATAGAAGATGAACCACGTTTGCTGTACCGATTAGCTTCAGGCATTTTGAGAGTTGACCCCACTTATAAAAATGATTTACAGCCATCCAGATTGGCCCGTGATCTTTCTGTAATGTAGTCAGTGGTAATTAACTAGTATGATTACCTACAAATCAGGTGGGCCTACATACCTGGGTTCTTTGGCAACAAATAAAAAGCAATGAGAATGCAACCTGGATTTAATTACAGTATTAAAAGATAACAGCACCATTTTCAGACATTGAGTGTGATAAAACATGCAAGAACGGCCGTGACTTCTGACAAATAGTTATATAAGATGAGATGAAGCACATGCATGGAGGAGGTCCAGAAGGTTATCCTGCTGACTTTTGTGACATGGTAGGCGGATTTGTAATCTAGTCAAACAATCCAATCAAACACCGTGTTTGTCTAATTAGATCAGGCCCCTTTTTATCGCTCTTTCCAGCTAGTAGATGGGTCCTAGAATTGCCGCATCTGTTTGCTTTCCTAAAACAGGAGCGCGATAAACTCCGGCCCCGAATCTACAAACATAGTGTATTTGCAAACCTGTAAACGTTAATGACCTTAGGATCATCCCCCCTATCCCAGGCGTGATATTTGCAGCTACAAGCATGCAAATCCTTTTCATGAAAGCCTGCGGGATCAATCTAAAATGTGATTATGTGATAGCAAATTTCACAATTGAGAGTCAAATAACATCTTTACGCAATCTGCCTTTCTGTGTTAAGAATTCTACAACGTTCTCAAGTTTTCACAATCGAGGAATTGAATCTTTCTACATTGACTCTCTCAATGACTTTCGAGTGTGTGTGTGACACTGCATCCTTTTTTAAAGCAAGATTTGAGACGAAGCAAGTTTATCTACTGGTGCCCACAACAATCACTGGCTTCACTCTTTCGGTTATGATTAAATGGACCAGACTTATCAACCCCCTCTTTTTCAAGGTGAAACCTTATCGTTATCTTTTAACCCTAAGCTAGCGTGCCCGCTGCCCGGGTGCTTGCTAATCTTACATGGAAAGTTTTTCTAGGCTCTAGGCAGTTGGTTAGAGATTTCGGCTAATAACAGATTTGATTTCAGTATTTGAGGTTAGCTGTACAATAATTACAAATTAACATGTAGATAGTAAATGCAAGCAAAATGTAAGACTTTCAACGAGTGAGATCTCAATAAATGCGTTGGCCAGGCACAATCATAAAAAAAGTGAGCAAGGCTAGCAGTACCAAACAATGCGCTATCTGCCTATAAAGGAATAATCGCATCTTTGGGGCACATGCCTCATTGCAAACACTATCTCACCATTAATTTGGTTCCTAAATTCAATGATGGGTTTGTTTGGCTAATATTAAATAACTCATATGGTTGGTAGATCATCAACCAGAATTAGAGAGCATTTTATACAGAAACCATAAAAGACAAGAAAGTGAAAGTGATGATCATGAACAATCTCTCTATCACATCATCACCGATGTCTGCACAAAAGATCAACTCACTAGTTCCCACATAAACTCGGAAAAAACAATTCAAAGCTGTGCCAATAATCCAAACACTAAGCCAAGAAATATTCAGAAATTTACCATAACAGATAACCAATATGAGAATGATGGATTTTAAATCCTGTGCATACACAAATATGCTCCACTGGGTAGACTTGACCTTCAATTAAATGAACTGTTGTTAAACTGCTATCCATTAGAATGTGTAAAATTGCTTATATTTCATTCCAGTTAGCAAACTCTTTCTTACCATTTACTCCTCATTTGAATGCTTTACCTAAGATATAGTGTGAAAATTTTAGTTACCTAACACCATAAAACTCTCTCCTACAAAAATTTAATACACCGAATGATCATTTTACGAGCTGCAGCACTGCATATGTGTACATCAGTTTGCAATTCAACTTAGTGGCAGCAACATGAATAGCAAACTCTCGATTGTTTAAACAACATGAGCAGCAAAATATTGATAAAGATCACAGAAATGCATACTGACTAATGGAAAAACTTCTATTCAACTAAATGCTTGCAAGCAACCTGTTCCACAGTTAGCAGATTCTCAATTGTTTGACGAACATAAACAGCAAAATATAAACTAGTGGTTCACAGAAAATGTTATAAAGTCTCAGAAGGTTAACCAATTTTCCCAAAGATTGAGAGTGAGATGTCACCAATACCATAGGACCCTGTGACTGGTCAATTTTGAAGCCAAGCCCACCAATTGTATCCCCACTTGCATTTTCCTCAAAAAAAATCCTAGTAATCTGAAAATCATTTACACTAACAACGAAACAGTGAGGCATATGCTACTATCCTACAGGCTTCATTATACAACACCAAATGGCACCTTCTCGACTTCATAGAATAAATCGCAACGCTAACAACTCAAGTCAGCAAGACCTAAAACCCAATATCTAAAAAACTCAAAATCTGTTCTGTAAATTCACAAAACCAAGTTTAAAAACCAACGCAACACATTGGAATCCCGAGCTTCACCAGTCAAAAAGGCTGTAAGTCAGCATGACCTAAAACCCAATATCTAAACAACTCAAAAGCTGTTTCTAGAATTCACAAAACCAAATTTAAAAACCAATGCAGCACATTGGAATCCCAAGCTTCACTGGTCAAGAAGGCTGTACTCCAACAACGACCAGTCATTTCCTTCTATGATTAATGACTCTCACTGTAACTAGTTAACAACCTCTTTGCACAAAATGCACCAAGCTTTTTGAAGAATTACTGGTATCTCAAAATCAAAAAAAAAAAAAATCTAACAAAACAATTAATCACGAACAGAAGTCATATAGCCAAAATATCTAGTAGGTGTTTGAGAGTTAGCAGGTACTTGGGAATGTGAATAAGGTGATAGAAGTTATTTTTCAAATAATTTTTTACTTGATAATATATTAAAATAATATTTTTTTATTTTAAAAAAATTATTTTTAATATCATTATATTAAAACGTTTCAAAACCAATAAAAAAATATAATTTAAAATAAAAAAACCAAATTTAAAATAAAAAATATATAATTTAAAATAAATAAAAATCAAATTTAAAATAAAAATTCAACCTCAATTTCAACCCTCCACTTATCCTTACCCACCAAGAATAGAGAAACCTAAAGCCCTAAACCACGAATTATCAAAAAGAAATTCACTAAAGATTGAACACTTAGGTTCTATTACAATTATTCATTCAATATCAAATGAGTAAACCCTAAAATAGTTAGAGTAGAGTAGCCCACGGGCAAAATCGACCACAAATTACCTCTCATTCATCGTCGCCAAAGAGAAGGCGAAGGCGAAAAGCAAAGAGACCAATGCAATCAAGA